TTATTTATTTATTATTTATTTATTATTTATTTATTATTTATTTATTATTTATTTATTATTTATTTATTATTTATTTATTATTTATTTATTATTTATTAATTTTTGAAATAACACGACCACTTTTTAAAATTTTTTAAATTTGACTGTGTATTCTAATCATTAGATGATTCTAATGAATAGGTATTGCAACATTTGCTTAGCACTATACGAAGAAAGCAATTTACTAATTAATTACTGTTACTTAACAAAGTTTTAATATTTTTTTACAATGTGCTTAGATCTTCATAATAATACCTATTTAAAGTAAAATAAATGGGGTTCTTGAACTGTGTTGTTGTTTTTCTTTATAATTTTAAGAGTTTTTTCTGAAAAGTAAGTCCTTACAGTGCTTACAGTATATGTATTACATATCTCCCACATATCCACATATCGCCTGTACGGCCTTTTTGACACACCACACACCCGATGTATCAAAACACATAGATTCGATTTTTTTTGTAGGTACAGTGATGGACAGTGTATTTCGTCCACCCAATTTCCCTGACAGATTAAAAGTGTAAATTATTCTTTAGGTTTTTCTAAGCTTGTTTCAGAATTTTGATTAACGTTTGTCATGTTGACAGAATGCTCGATGCTCTTTGCTACGTTTTACCTTTTTTGGGCTATTTTGGGCTATTTGACACACCACACACCCGATGTATCAAAACACATAGATTCGATTTTTTTTGTAGGTACAGTGATGGACAGTGAATTTCGTCCACCCAATTTCCCTGACAGATTAAAAGTGTAAATTATTCTTTAGGTTTTTCTAAGCTTGTTTCAGAATTTTGATTAACGTTTGTCATGTTGACAGAATGCTCGATGCTCTTTGCTACGTTTTACCTTTTTTGGGCTATTTGACACACCACACACCCGATGTATCAAAACACATAGATTCGATTTTTTTTGTAGGTACAGTGATGGACAGTGAATTTCGTCCACCCAATTTCCCTGACAGATTAAAAGTGTAAATTATTCTTTAGGTTTTTCTAAGCTTGTTTCAGAATTTTGATTAACGTTTGTCATGTTGACAGAATGCTCGATGCTCTTTGCTACGTTTTACCTTTTTTGGGCTATATTCAACTTTATAATTTTAAATTAAAACTCATATTTTTTTCTTCATAATTTGAAAGGTACTAGTTTTCTTGATTACAGGAAAAGTCAACTTTTCATTTTGTGCATCAATTTTGCTAAAATAGCCCAGTCAAATTAGACAAAAATAGGGCGATCGGTGGAAAAAAATCCTACAGAGTTGGAATTTTTTTTAAACGTTTTCTTTACACTTGGGTAAACATATATCAAAAGTCCCCGAAGGTGGGGGGCATTTGCTGAGAACATTTTCAAAAAAAGTTCAGAAAGCTAGAACAAAGTGAACAAGTCGAAATCTGAATGGAAAGTGATTTGATTTGAAAACGATTTGCTCTTATATTTAAGGCTCGTGCCTTAAACTTCTAGATCCTCTTTGCTATTGATCATTGGATCAGTGGTCATTTTTATAACAAAAAAACTCTTTATTTACTTTAATTGGTACGCAGATACTCTTTATTTGTTTTAAGTAAAGAAACAGTTTTTGTTTATTCTAATTAGAACAAAGAAGGTGCAATTGACCATTTTTAAGCAAAAGAAGAGTCTTAAAACAAATACTTTTATAAAAATGCAATTACATGCATTTCTCTTATATGGATCAATGCTTGATTAGCAAACCATAAATTCAAAAAATCATATCTTGAAAACTACTCGGTATATTTTTTTAAAAATTTGGATTACAACTGATAAAGAGATGCTCTACACGATAGTAATAATGAAAAAAAAATTACTTATAGGGTATTTCGCTTTACTTCGATGAACTTCTTTGAACACTGTTCGAAGAAAAGTTTGCCAATATTCAATTTCAAATTTTATATCATTCTAAAGGGCAATTTAGAATGGTTTTTATTTGAAGGAAATCGGCCTAATAGTTATTGATTAATGATTTTTTAAAGTTAAAGTATTTTAAATTCATTTAAATTAGAAAAAAATTATTTAGTTCAAAGTGTGTGGACTTTTTAAATTTTTTTTAGTGCATTTGATTTGTCTCACTGAGACGAACAAAATGATATAAAATTTGTCAAGTTGTCACGACATGACTTTTTTTTTGTCTCCCTGTGTTATTTTATAATTTTGCCGCTCACTGTGACGTAGGCAAAAATATGGTCAAGTGATTGGATGTTTTTGATTGAATTTCTAGATCTTTGGAAAAACATCAGCAACTTAGAAGTGGTTTCCACATTTAACACACACAAGAACACTGTGAGTCACCTTTTTATCAGCGACGACGGGACTCGAGTGACTTCAGTCGGCCACGATTCCAAACTGAAAGTGTTTTCTTTGGAACAAAATCGCCAGACTAGAAGTGCAAACATCGGAAATATGCCTTTAAGTAGCTGCATTCAAATGCCTAACGTCAATGTTTTGGTTATCGGAAGTTGGGATAATCAAATGTAAATGAAAATATCAAATTTTGCATCTGTTATGAAAAAATAATTTCAGCCTATTGTACGATTTAGACTACGGAAAAGTGACCGAAAGTGTATTAGCACACGAAGATGCAATCACTTGCATGTGTTGGGGTAAAAAGAGTAACATTTTGGTGTCGGGTAGTGGCGACTGTACTGTTAAAATATGGAAAGGTTTGAACAATAACGGAATAATCAAGCCGATTCAATGTTTACAAAAACAAATCGATCACAATTCGCATGTTAACTGTTTGGATTTTGACAGGTAATTTAAAGATGTGTTTGTGGCTTTTTTTAGTAATTTTTCAGTGATAACAAACATCTTGCTGTTGGTACGGAAGACGGGGAAGTCTACATTTGGAAAACGAACGAATTTACCCTTTACAAAAAATATGCAATACATTCATCCAGCATCACAGCGATTAACTATAGCCCCGATGGCTTGAAATTGGCTCTAGGTGGCAAAAACAAAACTTTACAAATTGTAGATGTCGAAACTGGACTTCCTGTTTTTACGAAAACTTTGAAATCGGCTATTTCCTGTATGAAATGGGTCGGATTTTTGATTGTTTTAGGCTGTGAAGATGGTAGTTTGTTTATTTGGGATATCGTTGAAGTTAGATTACTTTATGAAATCAGTAAGGCCCATTCAGGTTCATATTGGTCTCGTGTAAACCCCACATTTAAGTCGATTTTCAGGAGCAATAAAAACTGTCGATATTTCACCTGATAACGCTGTCATTGTTACCGGAAGTGAAGATCGCCTTATCAAAGTATGGAAACCAAAATAAAACAATAATTTTACATAGTATTTTAAAAACTTAAGTATTGTGATATTTTTAATAAAACTCTCCCATTTTTATTTTATTACTACGGATGGTTTGCACCAACACTAGTTAAATTTAATCTCTGATTAAGAACAATTGTAACTGAAAATAACAATGGTCACTACGGATTTAATGAGAGATTAAATTTAACTAGTGTTGATGCAACCTAAAGGACGAGTGTTTTATTTTAAAAATTGACAAAATCAAACTCTCGCTCCATCCTCAAGGTGATTGTGAGTTTTTCCCGCTCTTTGTCCCACTTGGCGTCGCCCTTTTGCGGATGTACTGGTTGTGGCAGCGGTATATTTAAGTTAAAATTAGGCGAAGTCACTTCCAATTGCTTTGTAAGAACTTTGATACCCATATTTTGCATATGCTCGCCTGGGAGGTCTATAGTTACAATCATGTCTTCACAACTAGATGTGGAGGGTGTTTTGGCTCCCATCTGCAACAAAATATGAACCACAAATCGGTTTAATCTCAAACGAAACCTGCAAAAACATGTCGGAAGGTGTAACTTTTTGACGATAGCTTATATCCCATTTTGGTGTTCTTTTCCAATCGGAAGAAATAATTGTTTCCGTGTCACAAATGTCCACATATTTTTCTTCACGCTCAGTTTCGAGTTTAGTATAGGGGTTTGTTTTGCTTTCTTTCGATTTTGTTTCTTCCGTGTTGTCATTGATCGAAGGAGTTTCATTGCAATCAGAGTCAGAGTCATCTTCGCGAGGCGGGTTGAATAATTTAACAAGTTGTTGAATGTCGCAAAATTCGGTCATTTTTCTCAAAAACGCACAATAAAGACAACAATTATTTTCCCCTGGAGTTTGACAACAGATACAAATATTGATTAAACAAGCTCTATGACAACCACAAAATTCCAAAATTAATGTTTTGGTTTTAGCCCTGTCAAATTAGACAAATCGGTGGAAAAAATTTCTAAGGAGTTGGATTTTTTTAAACGCTTTTTTACACTTTGGTAAACATATATCATAAGTCCCATGATGATGAGTTAAAGGTGCCATTTTTTGGTTTTTTGCTTATACATATTTCGGATACGATTACTTCTATCGATTTTTACCCTCTTAAGAAAATTTAAACTGATAAAATTTCCTACAAAAATGGTTGTATAAATTTTGTTAATGGTGTTGAAATTGCCTTACGTATTTTGGCCTAAAATAATTGGAATTCAAGCATTTATTTTTATAAAATACATACATTGATTTAGAATAATTTCTGTGTTAAAATTGAGTAAAATTGTTTTGAAAATAGCTCAAATTGTTCTATTTTGGCCGAAAACTGTTATACAAGCATTTATTTTGTTGAAATCTATTGATTCAGGTTGATTTCTGACTTAAATTAAGCCATTTGATTTAAAATGATTTCTGTGTTAAAATTGAGCAAAATTGTATTGGAAATAACAGCTCAAATTGCTTTATTTTGGCATAAAACTGTTATTTAATCATTTATTTTGTTAAGACACATTGATTTAGATTAATTTCTGGCTTTAAATTGAGCCAAATCGATTGGAAATATCACAATAAATTGTTTTATTTTGGACTAAAATTTTAATTTAAGCAATTATTTCTGTAAAATAGGTTGATTTAGAATGATTTTTGGTTTAAAATCACGAACATTGTATTGGAAATAGCTCAAATTGCTCTATTTTGCCAGAAAACTGCATTTATTTTGTTGAAATACATTAATTTGCAACGTTTTTTGACTTAAAATTTAGATAACCAGTGGCATATTAATCCAATTTGGCGCTCAAAGTCCTAAAAAAATTTTGGCCTCTTCCCCCACTGATTCTCTTCTGTTTCAATAACTTCGAAATTTTTATAGATAGAATTTTTTTTTAATTTTTTCCATGTTCCTGGTACCTTACCCTACATAGCATTTTTTTGGGGACGCGAGTTCTGGCGCACTCTGTATGTGCATATCATATAGAAAGTGACTCCTTCAACTTTTAAAATCGCGATATCTCAGCAATGGTGATTCTTAGAAAAAAAAGTATAAGGACCTTTTTTGTAGATAATTTTAAGGTCTATCTTTTTTTGTCTGGACTACTTTTTTGATAAAACTTTCCATTTCCGAAGAAAATCCATAAAACCTCAAATTTTGACCTTTGACCCCGAAGAACTTTTTTAGCACACATGGGATCGATGGGGACTTTTGACACTTTATTTCTAATGGTGTACCCAAGGTCTCCACCAAAATTTAGCTCTGTCGGAATTTTTGTTATTTGAAATGTCTATTTTGACCGGACTAATAGCAAATGTAGCAAAATGTTACTTAATAAACGCGTATTGTTTATTTATAAATAAACTAATTACTATAGTAATTAATTAATAATACACTGGCGGACACGGAACTTTGGACGATTTGTCATTCGAGTGACATAAAAATGTTAGGCAACTAACCTCACTTTCGGTTTTTGTAATTTTTATCTGATAGCTAGAGAAAAAATGACAACAAATCAAAATAACTTATTGAACTTATATAAAAACACGTATTGCTTGCATTATTGTGTCGGAAAAACCGATGCCAAACAACCAAGATTTTCAAATTTTAGTTTCAAACGTCAATCATAATGACAATAAAACGTAACTTACATTGACATTTTTTGAACTGACATAAATTTGATGTCCAAAATTCCGTGTCCGCCAGTGTATATAATTCAAAAGTAGAAAAAAAATGGCGGATGATTTAAAAAAAAAACAATGACTGTTGATTCGAAAAAAAAAAATTTTCCGGGCTTTCTTGTCATGAAATATGTTAATAACTTTGTCAAAACTGAGAGCATTAAGCATTTCATTTTCGATGCACATTATTGCTAGCTCGTTTAATTTAAGATTAGGTAATGTAGATCTGCGGTAGCCTTTTACTCTCTTCAATGCTGAAAACAATCTTTTGCATGTAAAATTAGTCACCGCTTTAAAAACATTCTCAACAAAATTACAAGATTAGGGAGCAAGTCATCAATATTCTTTGATTTCCTTCGTGGTGATAACTGAAAAGGAGCTCAAAAATCCGAATTCTTCATTACTCTCTAAATACGACTCTTGGATGCGAAATTCATCTTTTCTGTTGGATTCAACGTCTCGGTTTCCTCCTGTCTCATCAAATTGTTTCAATCTCTTCTTCCTTCTTCTACTGACATACTGGTAATTTGCATTATGACACAATTTGATTCCTTACAGGATCAATATTCACAGCTTAAAGTTTTTGGTTCACTTGGTTATTGAAACGCTCTACTCCTCTCTAGTATTATCTTTTAAAACAGGTCATAATAGCTTTCTAAGTTAAAATTCGAGAAACACTTGTGATTTTGTGAGATTGTGAACGAACATTGTACTAAGAAAAAATAATTACCGTGAATTTATTTTGCTCCAATAAACACGATTTTATTATTTCCTTAAAAAAAATTCTTACTCAAAATTTTGCTTCTCTTAAAATCTTTGCGCCGCAAGCCCGTGCTTTTTAGGCTCCTGCTATAATTAATACGCCACTGTAGATAGCCAAAATTATTGAAATTAATCAAATTGTCTTATTTTGTCTAGAAACCGCAATTTTAATACTTATTTGATATAATACATTAATTTACAAGCTTTTTCCACCAATCTCTTATTTTTGTATAATTTTACTGCTACTTTGAAGAGATTTTAAAATTGATCTCAACTATTGAGATTGTTTTCTATACCTATTTAAATTTTTCTTGAAAAACCTAAAATATTTTCTGGTTTCCAGATCTAAATCTGTTAAATAACAGATAGATAAACACAGAATAAAAACAAACAAACAAACAGAATAATAAATATAATTCTTTTTGTTAAGGGATAAATTTACAACGAAAAAAATTGCATTGTATCAATTCTAATAAAAATTTTTGCTCTGAAAAGATTATTAGGATTTACACAGAAATCTTTTAATTGAGTGAGATGTATTTATCATTAGTTTCACTAATGGATAATTTTTTGTCGTGCTTATGGCATATATATATTATATATATGGCTTATGGAGAACACGTCCGTTTGGAGGCAAATGGCACCCGATATCTTCCTCGGCACATTATCGAAAACAGAAGAACTGGACGAATTAGTGCCGGATTTTGGGGTTGGATGTGTAATGCCAGCCATGGAGAAATCGTCCAGGTGACACCTCCCAATTTTAACGCCCACCAATACATTCGAGTACTCGAGGAAGTAATGCTGCCTTCTGTTTATGCTCTTTATCCACTGGAAGAATTACTTGAACACCCAATAGCTTTTGTTCAAGATAACTGTCCGATCCATCGGGCTCGAATTGTTGACGCCTGGTTTGCGAATCATACCGAATTGGAAATTATGCGACGGCCTCCGTCTCGTCTGATCTAAATCCTATAGAGAATTTATGGGGCAATATAGTTCGCGAATGGCGAAATTTTCATTTTCAACCTAACGTTCGCGAACGAAATTTAGAAGAATTGGCGCAGCACGTCAATAACGTTTGGGAACATTTTCGCTATTCACAAATTTGCCAAAATGTGGTGAATAGTATGCCTGGACGACTTCAGGAATGTTTAGCCAATAATGGATATCACACACATTACTGATGATTATGATAAATAAAATATTTATAAAATGTATAATTTTGGCTTTTTATTTAAATAAATCAAATTAATTAATTAAATTTAAGCATTGTTTTCTCTTTAATTATAATAATTAAAGAAATATTTATAATATTTAATTAATGATTAAAAAATTACAATAACCCACCCTTTGAAGCATTATTATTTTTTACCCTCCCAGATGGTTTATGACTGCGGTTGGGTAGGAGGACCCAAATAATGAGGGTCGGTTTATAGACACGACATTTTCTACTTTTCTGAGTGTATAGGGTACCTAAATCGATGTTAATGCTCCCAAATATCTCAAGAACGTCTCAATAATTTTAATTTCTGTTTTCACTATGTGAAAGAGAATATAGGGGATAAAAAAGACAATTATTTTTATTTTTTAATAGAATTTTTATTATAATCAAAATGTGTTTACTTAATTTATTTCTTTTTAATATTTTGTTGAAACTGGAACAAATGAAAATACAGGATGTACTTATGATTTGCATATGTCTATATTTGTGGTAAACCGAGAACAAATAACTTAGAATTTCTTTATCAAACATAATCTTAAAACTAATAATTTAATTAAATACTAGTTATTAATGCATTATAATATGCAACATACAACAAAGAAAACAGTACGTTATTGTGTTGTTACAATGTGAACAAATTACGGAAGTGGAATCTTTGGATATCGGATACACGACAATCTCTTCACAACAAGGACATATCAGTCTTTTTACCTTAACTTGCTTGATACAAGCACCCATTTCTACTGTAACAAGAAAAATTAGTTAGGAGATACCCAAATTTTACTTGTATTACTTACTTCTTTTTGGGAAAAACTCGTTGTAGCGAATTTGTGGAAGTTAAGGCCAAAGATTCTGACACGTTATGAATTCACTCAAGAAAACTTTGTCTTTATATAATGAAAAGGCAGGTCATAAAATAATGATGGTTGCCAATAAGGGTCCAACAAAGAAAATATCCACTTTCTAATCTATCGTTTCTAATCACTACCCCTCCAAAGGGGTGAGTTGATTTAAATAGAAATTTTTATTTACGTTTGCGTTACTTAAAGATTAGAAATTTCAAACTTTCTAAAGGGTTATGAAGTTTCGATAAACATGACTTTCCTCCATCTCAAAATAAAGAGTTTCAAAAAGCTGGAGAGAACAAAAACCGTCCTTCTTTTAAGAAATAATTTTAATGTTTTATACCAGTGCCAATAAATGTGAAAAAATATGTACAAATTTTACACTAATTTTACGGCTGGAGGAGTACTTCGCCATTTTACAATAAAACACAAATATAGTGTGCGCCAGAACTCGCGCCCCAGAGATAAATGCCATCCATGTAAGGTAAGATACAAGGAACATAAAAAGAATGTTAAAAAATTCTATCTAAGTAAGTATAAAAATTTTGAAGTTTTTGCTCGTTTTAGGTGATACAAAAAGTGTTTTTACTTTGCATAAGTTTAATAAAGTTTATTTTCATCATATATTACATATTTTTAGTTCTAAGGTGTCAAAGTACCCTTCAGGCTAGCATAACTTTGATTTTCAACGAAATTAAAGGGACTGTCAAAATAGCCCCAAAGTCAGGGTTTCTTTGACACTAAATTTTCGTTTGTTTTTTTTTGTAAAAACTATGACAATGGCGCAAAATTTGTTTATTAAAGCAGAAGTCAGGGTTTCTTTAACACTAAATTTTCGTTTGTTTTTTTTGTAAAAACTATGACAATGGCGCAAAATTTGTTTGTTAAAGCAGAAGGATCATTTGTTCTCATGCTATTTTTTTCAAGAAAATATTGCAACAAATAAAAAAGTTACATTAACAAAACCTCTCAAACTATGTCAAAGTAACGATTTACTTTATTTTTACGTTTAATAGTGGCCTGCGTGTAGAGACACGTTACTGGATGTTTTTATTTTTATTTATTTTATTAGTGATGTTAGACTATGAGGTTGAACTTTTTTACAATATTAAGAAAACATCCTCAATTTTATTGTTCTATGATTTTCTAAATTTTTGTTTAATCTTTTATTGTAAGCTAAATAACATTGAAAAAAATAAAGATATGAATTTATGGAGAAGCAATTATCTGGAAACTACTGCACTTCGGGGTTTCTAGACTTTCAAGCCGTTTTAGGAAAAAATAAAAATGTGTGGTGCTATATAATTTTCAGAAAATGTACTTCTATTGCTTGAAAGTACATAATTTGAGAGACGACATTATTATTTTCCTCAATTCTTTTAGATAGTTTATCACGTTTACAAAATTGAAAAATGTGAACGTGCATTTGCTCATAGAGAACTAGAAACAAATATGTTTCAGCACACACTTTTTGATTGAGTTGACTGGAAACACGAATAAATTATTGGTCTACAGTATGTCCCCAGATTGAGTTTACAACAGGAAAAAAAATTATCTTTGATTTTACGTCAAAACTGCAAAGGAAATAGTTATTTATTATACAAGACGATAAAATTGAATTTTATATGCCCGAAAAGATAATGAAAATTTTATCGTCGTGTACAATATAAAATTTTATTCAATGCTCACTAATTTTGTAGTCAATTTGGTCGATATTTATAAATGTCAAAGTAAAATTCAACAACGAAATCTAATGTCAAAGATCGTTAGCAACTAACAACCGCAGAAATACAACAATGGATGTATTTTTTATCATCTAGACGATAAAATGTCATTTTAACATGAAGAAAAGAGTAGATAAAATTTAATTTTAACATAGAGGATTGAATAAAACATTTTTGCTTTACCTGAAACGAGCAAATCTGTAATTAAAACTTTATTATTCGAACTCAGTAGAAAAAAAATTTTTTTTTCATTTTCTCTTGATTTTGAACTTAATTTTTCTGCTTCTTAAATTCCATGACATCGGCGATTTTATTTTTTTGACAATGATGTCACTTTGACAAATGATTTTTCGCAAGTTAATAAATTAATTGTCAAAGTGACATATAGTTGTCAAATAAATAAAACCGCCAATGTGATAGGACTTTAAAAAATGAGAAAAATCATTCCAAGTCCAAAATCAAGGAAAAAATTAACTTTTCTTTTCACTCGTTTCAGGTGAAGCAAAAAATGTTTTTCCTTTGTAGTTTTGACGTAAAACGAAAGATACAAAAAATTTCCTCTTGGAAACCAAATCCGGGGACATACTGTATACTATAAATTAGCTTTTTATTTATTAACCTGGGACTGGAGCTAAACACTACAATAGATTAAAAAATACTGATGATGATGTCGTATTTCATGCAAATGAGTAAGTGACCCTAAAAACAACCATTACTTAGGAGTAAAATATACTATTTGTTCTACTACTGTACAAGCATTAATAACAGTAACTGCAAATTATCTCAAGTTTTACTTTCAATTTCTTTTTGTTTATATAGGTCAAGAGATGTTTTTACATCAATGTGACATGACAATGAAATCATTTAGTGATTATCAAGATCCTTACTGATAAAAAAGAAAACATGTATAGGTATATAAATAAATTTTGATGTAACTAACTTGATTATAACTTCAAGATGAAGCAAATAATAATCCTGTTGTCCTTCTTGTTTGCTGGGGTTATTTCGCAAGAAAATAATGGTAAGTTTTCTTATAATTATGTACAATAATGATTTTTTGTTTTATGTTATTTTGAACAACAGTAAAATGCAATTCTAATTTCTGAATTTTTAGTGGAGTACACTATTGATCCATATATTTTTGAGGATATCATCAACAGCACCATAGAAAGTCTTAGGCCAAGTATTCCCGATCCTCTACAAATCGACAATCTTCCACTTTCATTTCCAGATGATGAAACCGCTGTTATAAAGTAAAATTTTTCTCTAGTGTAAAAATAAATGCTTATGAATTTATTTACAGGGGAAATGCCAGCGTTTCTAACTTGGAACTCACAGGATTGCAAGGCTTTGAAGTGACAGCTTTACATTTTGCCATTATTGGAATGCGACTTAACTTCACATTACTCCTTCCCAAAATAGACTTTTTTACCGATTACACTCTTAATCTTTTGATTGGTAATAGTGTGCCTATTTGGGGAGACGGCAACGTCACGTAAGTTTTTGCGTTTTACTGACATTTTCAAATTTTTTCTTATAGTCTTAACCTTGAAAATGCCGAGATTCAAGCTAGTGCACAAGTTAATCTCACTGGAGGAATTTCCGTGGAAAATCTTCACATACAAATTACCCTAGGAAATGCCACGGTAAGTTGTTAAAATTTGATGCTACAAGTATTAATTTTTGTTCTAGCTTGAGCTACATGGATTTCTCGACGATGAAGAACTGTGTTCGTTGATTTCTGCAATTTTCAATGACTTGGTTACAAAGTTAATTGATGAACAGCAAAACCTAATTTCCGAAATCTTGAGTCCAATTATAGAAGCTGTTATTAACTCTATTTTGGCTAGTATTCTTCAGACGACCACTGCTCTTCCTGAGATTGTTACTAATGGTTTGAATTAAATTTTTTGAAAATAATAAAAAGGGGAAAAGTCATTATACTTATTTTTTTCATTTAAACATTTCTTTAGATTTTTATATGTATTTTTTCCAACACTCAACACTATACTGTATAATATCTTATTCTGTTTCTATGGTGCATTTAAGCTTTCCTCTTATGTTGCCGCTCCTCTATAAAATACGTTGGCAATCAAATCGTGTTTTATAAGTACAACATACATTATTTAATTTATGATGTGAAATTTTAAAAAAGAATACAAACTTCCGCTGGCTTTATAGTTTTATGGTTTTAGAGATCTTAATACTGGGAAGTCAGAGAGATACGATTTATGAAAATTTATTGTTTTAATTAACCCTTGGATGCCCATGCGGGGTCTTTCGAGGACCCCATCTCTACAAACTTTTGCATATCATTTTTTATTTGGTCTTGTTAACAAGGCAGTATTCTGGTGTTTGTTATTTAATGTCTTTTGCAGGACAAAATAGGAGGCTGCCACAAAATTAGTAGTTTTTAGCGTTGTAGCAATTGTAAAGTTAACTGGGGTCTCGTGGAGACCCCCCAAAGGTGTTTGAGTGACCAATTATTTATTTTAATCTTTCCGTTTTTTCTTGAAATTTTTCTTTAAAAAATGTATCGACGCGAACGGAAAAGATCACTGCTACAATATGAATATCATAAAAAACATAATAAATCAGCTTTCCGAAACTGTTGAATAAAAGTGTACTCTTTCAAATATTATCAGGTTAAACCAGACAGGAAACTTGGTAGTTGTCATAATTCATGAATGTCCTAGGGCAATTGAAAAAAAAAAATACATCATGTGACTAATGCAACAAAAGCGAGAAGTTATAACGTGTTCCAACTGCTTATCAGTAGAAATTTTTATACCCGAAAATTATTTTTTTGTATACCTACGCTCCCGAAAACAGCTGCTTTAGGGACTCATTTGAGTCCTAAAAAATAAAATTGGTTACTATGGTAACGAAATTTTTTTAATTAGTAAGAGGTGTGAATTCGTGTTTTGGGAGCTTTAACAAAAAAATCTTGTATGCACCACATACACGCAAAAGGTTTTAGGTGACTCCTCTTACGTTGCCTCGTCATTAATTACGATTTGTCCTCTAAAACCCTATTTTGCGTACTTGATACATAAATAGCTATTTATTTGTTAAATAACGATTTGTGTTTTATATACTAATTTAAATGGGGTTTTTAGAAGACCCCGCATGGGCAGTTATGTTTGTTTCCAAGGCATTTTTGTTAAATGGTTGCGTTTTTTTCATTTTCCCTCCTGCGAAAGTGTAACTTTCTATTTTGATAAGGCAATCGAAAGCGACAGCGACGGTTGCTAGGTATAAAAAACTTTCGGGCCCTGGACGACCAAAAAAAAATGTCAATTTGATTAATACTTATTTTAGACGAAAATTAAAAGTAAAATTACAATTATTGTATGTTCCAGAAAGATTTAAAAGTACTTCAAGTTGCTTAAACTCTTGGTCGAATAAAACGTTTAATTGAACCAGTCTTTGGATTTGTTTGGCAACAAATTTCTGCATAGAATATATACAGCTTCTTCAATGAAAATCATTTTACACTAAATTTTGCCCAAGATTTGATGTCAAAAAATAATATGTAAGACAAGGTTTTCCACCGTAATTTTTATTTTATTTTTTTTTGTTTTTCTTTCTCACTTTTCTTTAGGGAATTGCAATATTATTCCTGATACTTACATCGTTTTCTAATCTCGAGTAATTTACTAAATACGTTTTTATAAACAGACCTCGAGAGTTTTTTTGAGAAAACCCATAAAACTTGGAATATTTACGAGGGTCAAGTCAAGCCACCCCCGAGTGGTCGATGATCG